ATAATATAATATAATATAGTGTAATATAATATAGTATAGTATAATGCTTCAGCCCTCGGGAATCCTCGGAACCCAGAGCCTGCCCGATGAGGGCCGAGTGCCCCCTGGCGCTCAGCTGATCCCTTGTGGAATTCGAGACGCTTCCGGGACCTCTTCTCTTAACACAAGCCTGCAGAACTGGAGATGCCCCCGATTACCTCCTCTGCGCCAAAATTCAACAAGGAGTCGGTGCCCATATTAAATCTGAGAGCAATTCGCCCGGACCGAGGCAAAGAGTTGTACGCTTCGATGTCTTACGCACCTCTCGAGGAATGGAAGTACCCGCCTGTCACTGAGAGAAGGTTTCCGAGTTATACTACATTTTGCTATTCAGTCCTATCCTATTCTATGCCAGATGCTTCTAGTCTATTTTGTTATGTTCTAGTCTATTCTACTCTATTCTATTCTATCCGATTCGATTCTGTTCTGTTCTGTACTATGCTGTGCTATGCTGTGCTGTTCTATTCTGTTCTATTCTGTCCTATCCTATTCTATCATATCCTATCCTATTCTATCCTATTCTACCCTATCCTATTCTATTCTAGTCTATTCGTTTCTATTCTGTTCCGTTCTGTTCTGTGCTATGCTGTGCTGTGCTATGCTGTGCTGTGCTATGCTGTGCTGTTCTGCTCTCCTCTATCCTTTTCTATTCTGTTCTGTTCTATTCTATCAATTCTATCCTATCCAATTCTATGCTATTTTCTACTCTACTAGACTAGTCTATTCTATTCTACTCTGGTCTATAAGTGCATATAGACTCAAGTACGCTCGAAGCTATTTTTCCCAAAACAAAAAGCCGTTCTGAATGACGGACATACCCCATGGATGTTCAGTGCTCAGGTCGTCTTCTGGAAAGCCCTGAGCTATGAGGAAGAGTTCTTTGAAGAAGACGTGTTTCGCATAGGCGTTGCTCACATCCACTTTTGCGGTGCACCACTCGCCCAAATCTGGAGCGGGTCAAGCCTCCATGCAACACTGTGGTGACCCTACTTGCAACAAGATAATATAGGACCTGATCATCAAATTGCATGGTCCGCACCCGGGCTTGCTGCTACCCGTAGGCAGCATTGTAGGCAGCTCACTGAGCCATGGTCAGATTTCTTTATGCTGGCTTTCCTGCCCTGTTTCCGGCGGAAGTCGCACGTTGTACAGACTCCGTTGCTTTTGCTCGCGCCGAACCTGCGAACAGAAAATGCTGTGGCCTGACTTGCGAGGAAGGATCAGGGCTGATCTGACAGCCCTTCCTTCCACCCCCTTCCCCTCCCAAAAAGTTCGAACTTCAACGCCAGAGTGCTCAAAGGTGGATGCCACGAAGCCGAAGACCAAGATTCAGATCCGCTTCCACGATGGCACACGAAAGGCCCAGGAGTTCAACGAGGCAAGACCCAGCCTCACATCCGGCAAACCCGTCGCAGGGCATCTATTCAATGTCTATAGATGTCTACAGTCTATGGTCCACGCTTCACTGTAGAAACTTCTCAGCTTGTATGGCAAGAGAGGAGACAGAGTCGGGCTGCGAAGGACCATACTGTGGGCGACCTCCGAGGCTTCTGTGCCCAGTGTGTTGGTGGGCAGGCGCGCAGGGCGGAGCAGGGCGGAGCAGGGCGGGGCCTGGCAACAGTAGAGTTCAACTGAAGGCTCGGAGGCATCTGAAGGCTCGTCGACGTTAATCAGTGGCGTGGAAGAGTACAGTATGAAATGGTAGAGAGCACATGCGCTCAGCTCGTGCTTCAATGTCTGGCCCGAAAGCCCTAAATCAAAATCCTCAAGCCAGGCGCCTGTGGCCTTTGTTTTTCTTTGAAGGGTCCTGCTTTCGGAGGCCATGACCATCATGGGTGGCTTTCCTCCCAAGGCCCAGGGACGGACAAAGGGGGAGTGTAATCTTGGGAGAGTTTTTATTCGCGTCACATGACGGCTCGTCATTTGTGTCATATTGGGGTGGAAAGGCTGGGTTGAGGGCTGACTTGGCTACGATTCTTGAAGAGTTCATTCTGGCATTCTGACCAGCTGCCCTCTGCAGCAGAATGCTGGAGCGGATAGGGTAGACGAGGGTGTCTGTTTCCAGTGTGCACTGCTCAGCCCATTGCCGACGACCAGCTCACGCTCAAGGATGCTGGATTGCTGAACGCTGCAGCCCGGGGCTGTGGGACACGTCCTTGAGTGGTGTTGGACATTCATCCAGTTCCAGAACTTCGAAAGGGCTGCTTAGGAGCAGCAACTGAGGGTTTTTTGGGCACTGCATCTGCTCCTTCCTTGCAACATTCCAGAGCTGTGCCTGGCGGCCGAGGTCACTGTCAAGCCAGCATGAGGCGACCTTGGGACAGGGTGCGGCTCCTTTCCGTGGTCTCCCAAGAATTTAGAGTTTAGGGGTTAGGGTTTAGGGTTTATGGTGGTCTCCCAAGTGCAACAATCACTAGCCATTTCTGCGGAAGTTCCTGCATTCCCTTTCCTGGCCCATCCTTGCAGCGCCAGCTTCTTTGCAAGGTCATGCCGCTGCTGTGAAGCTCCAAGCAAACCTTGGATGCTCGTACTGCAGACGACTTGTCACGTGACACTCTTGCGCGATGACTCCTTGAGCAAATGTTCGTACAAGCCTAGAAGATCAAGCCTAGCCTAGAGCGCTCCTCCCGGTTCGGGGTCAGCCGGGTGGAAATCTTCTGTTAGCTCTCGCAAGAGCGAGTTGCGACGAGCATCCGTGCCTCAGGCACCACCCTTTGCACATAGCGCCTGTGGACAGTGGCCAAGCACATGGTAGTAATGATCCGCATGCCGTAGACAGGCAAGAAGCTCTATGGGTGCACCTCCTAGCCAGTCCATGTCCCGGTATCATGAGGGGAGTAGGGCTAGGGACGAGCATTCACATCTCCACGCTGTCAGACACTTCATGGTGCATGCAAATGTACCAGCACCTCACCGTGGTCGCTGCCGAACAGAACAGATGCAGCTGTCAGGGACTTCCATTGCTGAAAAGAGCCTCAAGGTTGTTTCTGTTTAGACTCTCCAGCAGGACAGTTGTCCAACCCGCTCAATGCTCTGCAAAGTCTGGACCGTCTCTGGCCGTTGCGACAGCCTTGGCTCAAAGACAAGTTCCGATGCAGGATCTCCGTCCACACAAACAACATGTGCGACTGTAACAGGGCGATACCACACCTCGTCGCAGATCACTCTCCAGCAACACGGCACAGCACCAACTTTTGTTTTGTTCCTGCGCGTCAGAAGTCTAGCTGGCGACGTGCTGCCAAGGCGAAAAGGCACTGCCTCCAAGCCCAGATCCTAGAAATCCTGGCATGTCTCAAAACGTGCGAGGCGCTTGGTAGCCATGGTGATCCCCATGCAAACGCACGGGGCCTAGAGACTGACTTGGAAAGGAGACGGCAGCCCTGGCCGTGCCCAGGCCGCAGCTTTCGGGGCCCATCCCACCTCAGGCGGAGCAAGCCGGGATCCAAGAGCGAGAACCAAATTTTCCCAAAACTTCGAGAACTCCAGCCTATTTCCTTAACCCTGTGACAACAACAACTGCTACTTGCTACGAGCCTGCCGAGTAGCAAGAGTTATTGTCTGGAGACGTTTGCCAAAACGGCTCTGCCATTTTGGCTCAAGTGCCGGGACCTCAGGTCCCGCAAAAAATTTACCAGCTTTCGCTTCCTCTTTTCTCATCGCGACCGTTGATCATGGCATCTTCCTCCGCGGAAGCTATGGCATCCAGAATGGAGACCGTGGAAAGCATCCCACAGCCACAGGAATGTGAGGAGAAGCTGCAGGACGAAGGTGCCATCGCAAGGGCAACCCCTCTCCACAACTTTCAAGCTCACGAAGATGCGAGGTTAACTCATGCAGTGCTGCCCTCCTTTGCCGAGGTGGATGTTGATGATACCCCCTTTTCCGAAAGACTCAAAGACGCGGCCATGGTCATGGCCAAGCTGGTTAAAAGTGGTCGAGATCGCCAAGGACTCCGAGATGCAGGTTGGCCCTCGAGGGCTTCCCCGCAGACTAGCGAGCTGCAGACCAAACAATTGCCCTCTTCCAAAAGAAGTTCCGGCAAGCCTCGCCGTATGCACCTCCAGCCATTTGGGCCGGCGCCAGTGATGCCAGCGCCTCGGACGATTGTTCGGCATTGTGGGCGACTGGACTGTCCAACTTGGAGAACCCGGCGAAGAGTGACGTCTTCTGGTTCCACTACCAGGTTATCCCGGAGAGACATGCTTGCCTGGGCCTTTGACAAGGGCTGCCCCAAGAAACGCATTGCGGCCCTCGAGACACATTGATCCCTGCCACTTCCTTGTGGAGAGGGTCCCTGCATACACCCCGAACCTTCGCATCCCCCTGGTCAGCGACAACCGGGGGAACGTTTACTCCATCCTCAACGACAAATCGAAGAAGATGCCTATAATTCGGTGATCTTGATGGAGATTCTTCTTCAGCCGCACCGCCATGGCATACAGTTTGCAACTTCCCACGTCCAGCGTGACTTCAACACCAGGGCAGATGAGCTGACCCATCCTGACTTCCATGGTTTCACCCCAGATCTTCAGCTCCCTGTGCAGCGGACCCTTTGACATTTCACGCTTGTGAGATCGATCCTGGTCGATCCCATTTTCGAGTAGTCTCCTGCTCCCGATGAGGCTGTGGCTGCCTCCTGCCTCGGCTTTCTGTTGAACAGCACAGGCTTTCCTTACCTAGGTCTTGCTGCGGTGGAAGTCCGGGACTCCAGGTGCCTCTGGCCCTGACTGTCCGGACACCAGCCCAGGAGGTTTTGGACCGAGCCTTCGACGGAAGGGCTTCGGCTCTGGGAGTCGGCNNGTGTGCCTTGCTGCTGCATGGTTTGGTGTGTCTGCCATTTGCATGCGGATATCTGACATAGAGAAAGGTGTGCCAGATACGGGCAACCACAGTGGCGGATATTCCTTCTTTGGATTCTTTGGCATGCGCGTGCCACCGACTGAAGCGGTGCACTTGTGAACCAGCTGCTGTGGCGATTTGTTCTCACGCAAAACGACTGCAGCCACCACAACTTATATTGTTGAGCTCGGTCTGCCGGGGGCCTCTCGTTTATCAGATTCTTGTCAAGCCATGAAGCTTGGGCCTGTGAGGGTTTCCTCGGATGCAGGTCATCAACCTGCATCCAAACAAGGGATTGAACGGTTTGTTTCAGGCTGTAGGCTTTGCAGTCGCTTTAGTAGTTTGAATTCTATGACGATGAGGTTGGGAAGGCTGGGTTTCGCTCACAATTCATTGTTTCTTTTGGTCTGGCCCCTGGGCTGCTAGTGCAGGAAAGTTGGTCTGAAGGCCTTCGAACGTTAAGTTCGTGTCAGCAAGAGGCTGTTGTGACATCGCATCTCCACAGCCTTGTGTGGACTTCTGAGGCCACGAAGCGCATGAAATATGCCCTCATGGTGTACCCTGCGGCTATTCAACATATCTGCAAGTCGGTGTGTGTGCTTCGGTGCGTGCCGGTGGTTTCAGTGATCGGCAGATGCACCCAGGTGAATAGACGGATCTTGACACGACCCCTCCCCGAAACCCAAATGCGAGAAAGCTGTGCAGCTTGAAGCACCCACAGCCAGGGAATGGCCGTCACTGGTGTAGGGCGCCTCCTGTGCGCTGTGATGCAGAACCTGCTTGGGCCGGGCACCTCAGAATCTCCGTTCGAAGTGGAGACCCCAGGGCGGGTTGCAGACAGTTCGGGATTCTGTGCAGGAAGTAGAGTCTTGACATAGTATTACTGCAGGAGAACGGCGTCTTTCCATGTTGTATTGCCTGCTTCACGGACCCTTCTTTGCATGTGTTCCCTAGCTGCAAGATCCTTCTAGAGCAGCCTTCCAAATCTGTGTTGCTAGGTCTTTATGGGTTGATCACATCCCCTTGGGCCCCTGGAAAGCTCTAATCTGATGTAAGGACCCTCCTAGAGCAGTCTAGAGTCTAGAGCTGTCTATTGCTTGGTATAACAGTCTTTCTATAGCTTTCATAGATACTTCTGTGCCCGAGTTATGTGGAAGTTTTTTTCCTCGCACACGAACGAGCGCGGAAACTACGCGAAAGCGGCGAGGAAGGGAGTGTTTCTGGGAGAAAGAGTATCGGGTAACCCTCATGTCGACAGTCCCCAAGGTTAGAAGTCTTTGCAATCCTGAATGTCTTCATCGCCTGCTGCGCTGGTACCTTCCTCTTCAAAGAGCCGGCCTCGGCGGTTCGAAAGACCACGCTGCTGGAAGTCGGACAACGTCCTGGGGCACCTTAGGGGCTGGGGTGCTCAGAAGCAACGTCTCGGGTGCCCAAAGCAACCGTGAGGGGTTTGCTGCCCCAGCGTTGCAGATATCAGTGTTATCCTAGTCCTGGCTTAAGCCCCCTCAGCCCCCTAAACCGATTGAGGAAGATGAGCGATTTGCCAGTGCCTACAAGGCTCTCTGCAGCCTGTTGCAGTGCCGATGCTTGAGCTGATTGGGCTCAGGGGCGGTGGCTTATGCAGTTGCGCATATCGAATGTGTGGATTTTGGAGCAGTGTGCAAGTCGATGTTTGGATGCGGGTCTGCATTCATGTTTTCGATGTTCCTTCGATACCCTTCCTCCTGCGAGCGTCACATGTTTCGGAGACTTGCAGACAGTTTTCATGCCTGCTCAGAACTGTCCCGAGGCCTAGGCCTGCTTGTAACAATGCGCCCAGCCTATTTCTCGTTTTGGCAATCAGAATCTTCCAACACGACTCTGCTCCCAAAGCATCTCTTTTGCACAGTGCCTGGCCTCCAGCGTGTGCTCAACATGCGCGGCCCAAGGCCGGACAGGTTTCGCGTTCTCTCAGTGGATCTGTGTCTCTGCACGTTGCAGGTATGGGCGGAATCCAATGCCTCATGCCCTTCATGATATTCTGTGTAGGCCAGGTTGCAGCTCAGACAGGAGCAGTGTCACTTCAATAAAGCTGTTTCTCGACCTTTCTGTCTTGCCTCTCATTGGTACATATTGGTACGGCGACAACTCTGAGCCCAACTTCGTTGCAGTGAACTGCGTGCTGGACCTCCTCCTGAGAGTGCGCCTCGTGCCGCCGGCAGAGTCTTGAGCTCGAGTCGGTAGGGTGATGATTCTCCCAAGGAAGCCCAGAAGCGGCTATGCATGCCAAGTCTGCCCAACCCGGTGACAAAACCAGAGCTACGGTTGATGATCTAAATCCTGCATTACCCCCAATAGGGAATATACCATAATTCCCATAGTTTGGGGTCCTTAAGGTCATGCAGGATTTATATCATCAACAGTATGTCGCCCTCCGTGCCTGTGCCAGATCACGATCTTCCCATTTGGCCTCTTCTTCGTGGCGAGCTGGGCGTGCCAAGGAGCCTGAGAGCTCAATTGCAGCTGGGGCTGAGCTCTGGCCAGGCCAGGATTTCAGAAGATATCATGGCTTCTTGAGAGTGAAGCACCCTCGGTTTTTGAGACCCGTTGTGGTCTTGGTCCTCCTGCCTTCAACCATTGTTTATACCGTTCTGGACCTGTCTAGTGGGGTTTTCAGAAAACGATGGCGAGGAACGCATGTAGGACGTATATCATATACTACTGCTTACTGTGCTATGTCTGCAGGACTCCCTTCCGGGATGGCTAACCGCGGCTGGCCGCTACATGGGTTAACGCTCGTGCATGTCATTTAGCGCACAAGTGCACACCGCAAATAAGCCCATGAAGCCTTTGCGAATCAAGCCCATGAAACTTTTGAAACTAGAGTGAGGTGCTGCCGAAGAGCTACTGAGGTTGGGGCCTACAATGCCTGGGCGGTGTTCCCCACTGAGAGTCCTTACATCACGGGGGCTCGTGCTTGAGCAAGGTGGCATTTTTACTAGTGAGGTACAAGATTGCACGCGATCTGGCTCCTCAAGAGGGCACGGAGATGGGTGGGAGCCTTGACTTGCCTGTGAGCCATATCGTGTGCCCAACATACAGTATGTGACTTGTCACTCCTCATGTCATGCTGTTCCGAACTGGATTTAGGTGGGGGTGGCTTCGTACAAGGACGAGCAACTCTTGAAATCGGGGGCAGGGAGGGATTGAGATTCGACAGTGCTGCCAGGTCGGACAGGACGGTTTTGTTCAGTGATGCCAAACCTAAACCAACGAAGGGCATGTGAGTGGCGCGTGGCCCGGCAAACAATCATGTCCAACTGCCAATGCACGATAGAAGGTGACTTGTGGGTTAAACGCTTCCTTCTGCCCCCGACGAGGAGAGCAGGCCGGCTTAAACAGCGACGCGCCCTCTTCCCAATCGCAGGCTCGGGCTGCAGGGGTTGAGGCTCGTGGGCTTCAAGTGCTTCTACGACGAGCTTTCCGGGGTTCAGAGGAAGAGATGTTCGTAGGCGTGTGCTCTTTCGTTTGCATCCGTCGTTGGCTGACAGGGCTTCCAACCATTCACCGGATCGGGGAGCCGTCTTGGTCGCACACCTGGCAAGTGAGTGGTGGTTTCCCATGGACGATGCCAGAATGCCGCGCAAGCGTCCGACTGCCTGACTGAGTGGAGTCCGCACGACTGAGGTGGCTGAAACTCGTCTACATTCCGCGCGTGAGGGAAAGGGCATTTGCGAAAGGATTTCCAGACGTTTCCAGTCTCAATCTGTTTGCTGCCGATCAGTGATCGTGTGTTGGCTCACTTCGTCCATCTGCTCAAGCTTTGGTCACAATGCAGGAAAGCCCGTCCCCCATTCGTGGCCATCATTCATCTCAAGCGCATTAAGTTTCTCGACACACGTAAGCCGCAGCTTTCGACGCTGATGCACAGGACCAGCGGCACAGAAGCCAAAGAGCCAGAAATTTTACAACCAATTTAGATTTGGATTGGCGGTGTGAGATGGATGCGGCATCCTGGCTGTCTTCCCTGGTGACCCAAGCAGATGACGTGGAGATGCCCGGCCGAAAGTCGAAAGCCGCGGGTAGGAATGCACACCGTCCAAGAAAGGCCTTCAAAGTTGACCTGCCCTGTGACCTTTGGGGAGCACCGATGGGCCATGATGGCCTGTGCAGAATGGATTACTGCAGCCCGTGCGCCTGACATCCCAAGAACAAAAGGTGAGTCTGCGATGGCCGAGGTGCTCCCAGCACAGATGCACACGGAAGACATGCAAAAAAAGACTGTAGAGCAGTGCGCGGTAGTTCACCATTGTACAAGGCATCAAAGATAGAGGGTCGCTTCCACACCCACCATGCCATGAACTCCATGAACATCATTACGAAGCAAGAGTTTGTGACGAAGTGGTCTCAGGACTCCAGAAGACCAGCCGGAAGGCCAGGGCGATGCAGCCGCGCAGCGGGAAGCTGAAGCCGTTCCAGCGCCTTCGTCTGCCAAACCCTAAACCCTAAGGCTGAAGGGCTTCTAGGGATTGAGCACCTTGTCTTGGTATGAAAGCCTCCCGACACCCTGCCTCAGCCAAACTGGCATTCTGGATTCTCCCGGGCAGACGGAAAAGAGGTGTCAAAAAAAAAACCCTAAGGCAGCAAGCCAAGCGCCGAAGCCAAGAGCCGACTCCAACCCTTCGAGGCCCAGCCCAGCAGCCCCGGGTCCGGCTCATCACTAAAAAAAAAGCCAAACCCAAAAAAATGACTAAAGGACCCTATGCAAAAACTTTCCTAAACTTGCTAAGAAGGCCCTTACGCCCTAAGCCCTTAAGTCCTTTGTAAAGCGGCAGAGAGGGCTTTGGAGGAGCTGCTGAGCGCCGGCTTTCCGAAAGCCCGCGCAGAGGCGGCCCTCGCTGCGAGCACTTGGGCCAAAAGTGCAGGGAAGGTCGGTGAAAGCGGTGTGAAAGCGGTGATAAGGCCACTCTCACTGTTCGAGGGGCATCGATGGGAGTCGACTCATGAGGCTTGAATTTCCACTTCGGACCTCACTCATGCGACTAGTTGTGCGGCTTGGCATCCTCAAGCTTGAGCGTGCTGAGGCGACGGTGATTTGGACGAGGCGATCGGGATTGGGATTGAGAAGGGGTTCTGTTCGTTGCCGATCGCGGCTTTCAGTCTGTTTCTGGAGGCCCTGGCCGCGCTGGCTCGGAAGCCTCAAGACGACGAGGCCGCCGAGCTCCCAGCGCCCGAGGTTTCCGAGAAGGCGGCCGTGGAGGTGGAGGGCGTGCCCTGGCCTGGCTTGGGCTTGGCCTTGGCAGCAAGAAAGGAAGCCTTGCCTGCAGCCGAGGTGCAGTGTAGCCTCACGGAGCAGGGCGAGTTGGTGATGCCGGGCTCCCCAGAGAGGAAGTCCAAGCTGCTTTGAATGGTCGAGACTGAGTCGTAGCCACACTGCCACAGGGGTCGGAGGGGTAGTTTCTCATCGGTTCCCTTCGAAAGCGAACTGTCGAGGTTACTCCCTGGAGATTCCCTGCGCCCTGGACCACTGGGCCGGCTCTTGGTTTCACGCTGCAGGGGGTACCTGTAGCGGCAGCTTCCTCAAGTGCTTGTTTCGAGTGGGGCGTAAGTAAGATTGGGATTGGGTATGCAACTCCGACCTGCGGTGGTGGAAGCCCAGACGATGTCTGTCGTCACTTCCCAGATTGATGCAGCACTGCACAACTGCGGCAGGACCCGTCGTCGGGCGAAAGATGCTGAGCAGAACGACAGTAGCAATGGGAAGTCATGCCAAGGAGAGTGAAGCAGCAGATCGCAACTGCCCAAACTGTGCTTTGGGAGCGATTCCCAAGGAAGCCAGATGGTGGAGTCCTATTTGATGGCATGGACGACTGGCTCTGGGAGCTGTACGAAGGACATCGCCCGCGGCCAAGTACCTTGTCATCGTCCCGAGAACCCCAGAAGGAAGAGACGACAGAGGGAGAGCTGGCGGGAGGGAGGGGCATGGGGAAAGAGTAAGAGGAATAAGAGGTTAATGGATGCGTCTGCAATCCGAGTCACTTGCCGTCATTTTGATGAGGCCGGACAGCTCGCAACATCGTTAAAAGTGTTGCTTTTTCAGCCATGTGTTCATGATCGAGAGATAGCCGAAACTCCGAGACGGTGCTAATGTGCAAGCTTAAGGAGCAAAACCCTGTATCCAGCATAGTGCGGATGAGCTTGTTATAGCAGCATACGGCTTCTCTGGTTGACATTGTATTCCTCCGCCAAAGTTCATGACGCAGAGAGACCTCAACCGGTTGCCATTGAAAGCAAGCAAGACAATGGCCAAAGAGAAGCACTGAGAGGGACAAGAAGCGGAGACTCGCCGGCTAGGGTGAATATTTTTGGGCAGGCAGCCTGCCTGCTTCGTTCGACACTGCGGCCGCCGTGGCAGCTCTGGAGGAGACCCGACTGTCGTCTTAATCGCCTGGGCTTGGTGGCTGGATTTGGGAAAACGGACCTTTGCAAGCAAGCGGGTGGCTACCACGGTCAGGTCAGCTGTTTTGTAAGAATGAAAGGTTGGGGCGTGTGTTGAATTGGTTTCCGAAAGCCAGCTAGCGCGCAATGTATGCAGTGGCTGGCTGTTGATGAACTATTCCCTCATTTTAGGGGTTCTTTGTTTGCCGTGGGAGAGGCGGAGGATGTTTCACAGTACCTTCTTTTGCTTGGGCTGCAGGATGGAGCGCCATATGTTTGGGACGATTTCGCGACCTTGGACGAAATCAAGGCGGTTGTGGGGTCTTCAGTTCTTCCCTTAAAGCGACCGTTCACCTGCGAACCTGCATAGGAGGCGAACAGTGCCCTCGAGGACATGTTCCAGAGGAGCGGGGCTACTTGTACCGGAGAAAGCGAGCAGACATGGGCCACATGATGCCACATGGGCACATGCATGGCCAGCACGGCGCGTCTCTTGCCGTCTCCGCCTCCGGGAGGCGGGAGCTGACGCGGGGCTCCAGCGGCTTGGCAAAGCCCACTTGCCAGGCCCGGCCTGGCCCAGGACTGTCCGTGAACCGAGGCCTCTGGGTCGATGAGTGCGCGGAAGGCGGCCACGCTCGGAATCGACGCGCTCTGGAGGCAGCGCCACTCTGCGAGACATGTAGATGACAAGATTCCCAAGGCTCTGTAGACCCTGAAGTCAGACGTCAGGGACAGCGCCGCGACGATGCATGCGGCTTTTGGGATGTGCAAGGCGCGTCAACTTCAGCTTCAGCTTCCGAGCTTCACCAACTCGCAATCTCCAAGCTCCGTAAAGCCACGGAAGGCGGGGAGCCAGCGCCGCCCGCGCCGATCCTGCGGCTCTTCAGGCGCTTGGAGGCCGCTGCTGCCAGGCAGGAGCCGATGGGATCCTGACAGAATACAATATAATGTAGTATAGTATAATATAATGTAATGTATTGCAATGTAATATAATGTAATCGAATATAGTACAACATAGTATAATAGGGTCACTGCACGGGTCACTGTGAAGGTTACTTTTTAGGGGCCTTCAGGGTTACTCGAAGGGTTGCTTCTGGGCTTCAGGTGAACCTCAAACTAGGATATGCTTCTGGTGACGGGTCTTTCAACAGCGCCAAAAGATCCTGAGCCCCGCAAAGATGACCTCCTACATATACCTAGCTTAGATATATGTACACCCCCCCACACAATGATATATATATATATATACATACACACACACACACACGCACACACATACAATCTAGGATATATGCATACATGCATGTAATATATATATATATATATGCATGTATGTACAGATAGATAGATAGATAGATAGATAGATAGACAGATAGACAGATAGACAGATAGACAGATAGACAGATAGACAGATAGATAGACAGACAGACAGACAGACAGACACTTTTTCCCATAGGAGCCGTAAGATGTAGCAAAAATATGCAGGTTGCGCGAAGATCAGGGCTGGCCCTTGCTCTGCAGCCGTCTGGGCATGGGCGCCGTTTACGACGGCCAGGCTGTGTGCTTCCTTGGACAGGGTCGTTTCAAAAAAAGGTGTTGTATCATCCCGTCTCAGTTCGTGCAATGTAGCTATTCCTACCTTCAGCATGCTCGGTGAATCGGAGTGTTGTGATGTGAATTGGTAAAGTGCTCAGGGTGCGTGCTACGAGCAGCACAGAGACAATGAATGGCAGCTTCACCTCCGCCCCAAGACTCCGCGAGGCATCGCATCTTCTGAGTTCGCTGCTTTGTTGGAAGTTCTGGGTGTGTTTCAAGCAACCCGGTGCTCACACACATGTGTGTGAGAGAGAGAGACAAGGGGAATGCATGGTTTTTCCTCCTGCTCCCTACTCGTAAGGCTGGCCAGCATTGCTTGTTACTGTTGGGAGTGCTTGTGAGTTGGTCGCTGGTTTATTCGGGGTGCTTGTGAGTTGACTGCCTGAACCGGGAAGGCCTGCTTTACTCCACCGGAAAGGCAAACCCCTTTTCCGCAAACCCGAAGAGGGAGCAAAACCTGCCACGAACCACAGGCGCGCGCTCTCGCGTGGGGGCAGGGGTTGTCGCCCGTGTCTGAGGAGACAAAAACGCGCCGACCCCTACGCCCTGCAGAAAGAAAGACGAGCATTCCGTCAGTGCTTGAACCGCTGCAACGGTGTCGGTTTGGAGGCTTGGCGCCCGCGGACGTCACCGAGGCCAAGCGCTTGGGCCCTCAGACAATCTCAGATCCAGGCGTTTGCCGCTCTTCCGATTGGACTGCTCAGGTAGGCGATTGGACTTCGACGCGGCCAAAGGCCGCGTGCTTCTGGCGGATGCACTGCACGAGCAGCAGCAACCACACTGAGTGTGATCAATTCCCCGGCTAATTCCAGACGGAATATGTGCCGCCAAGCACCAAGATGGGGTGTTGGCAGGCGCGTGGATGAACTATAGGGAGCTGACGATGCTCTTCGGAACGCAATAATCGAGACTCTTCCAGAGGGACAGGATCACAATGAGGAGTTTTTGCTTCCTCTGAACTCGTCTGAGAATTTGAGGTTGGCTTACGTCAACCTTCCGCAGGCACGATCTAGCGCATGGAAGAGTTTCAGAGAATCCCCTTGAAGAGCTTCAGCCGCAGGATTTCGGTGACCATGAAGCCGGGCGACGCTTGGGAGGCCGGTGCCCAGGCCAAAGCAAGGATACTGCAATGTCTTGTCTCTACCTTCTGGGGTGTGTTACGTTCGTGAAGAAACCCCGAACTCCGGAAGCCAGAGACTCTTTCAATTTCAAGCCGGCGAGGACCACTCTTGCACTTGATTTCAATAACCCCAAGCCCTAAGCCCTAAGCCCTACGTACCTTCTTTCCGGAGCAAGGTTGCGGTGCTACGTCGCCACAAAGCGCGGGGATCTCACTGGTTCCACGGCGCGGGAGCTGAAGGCAACGATGGGGGCTCATGTGATAAGGGCACCTACGTGATACATACAGGATTTTCCTCTTGATTATTGGAATATGGCGACAGTATACCATACCCAAAACACACCCTTTCTAATGCAACACATAGGGTTGCATTATCGGGCTTGACATGGGGAGCTTTTCGCACAGATCCCTCCGTGACTGTATGCTGAGCCGCCGAAGATCTCCAGCATCTGCCCTAAACCCTAAACCCCTAAACCCCTAAACCCTAAACCCTAAACCCTACACTGTCCCAGAGGAGCTGGCACCTTGTGGCGGGCGCGCCGTCATCTTCCGCTCCAAGGATCCGGTTTTTTCGAAGCCATGGCCGCTACGAGGGAAGTTTCCGAAAGTAGGGTTACCCCCAAAAAAAGGATCCTACTATTCAGGGTACTATATTGGGGTCCCCTATTGTCAGAAACCCCCTAGTGCTACTTGTAGGAACTTGGGTGCAAACTGCCTTTAACTGCATTCAATCTGTTCCATGCCCACTATGTGCAAGAGCTTTGTGATGAATCTCCAATCTCCTTGTGCATCCTCCGCGAAGTAGAAGTCGCAGCGAACAGCTTCTGTGTGGATTCACCCAGTCCGAGTTTCGATTTATGCTGATTCAGGAGCTCCTGCACGAGGTGGGCCTGCAATCCACGGAACACAGCACTTTCCAATGCGTTCCTCGCAGTGTCAGAGTGCCGGTTATGGGATCCTCCTTGCGACGTCAGAGGTTCAGAATTTCCGGTTTAGGATCCTCTTTGCTGCAACCTGGGCAGGTACTGCCCAGTTTCGGGAGACGATATTGTCTCACATTCTGGGTTTGCACACCCCACGCCTGAGGAGGAGAAATGGCTACTCGTATCTCAAACCTTTGGCCCGCGTTTATCTTTCCATAGAAGATCATTATATTCTTGATTCTTTTGAGATTTGATTGGTTTATGAGGAGAACTACTTGAAATAAATATGCCTAGATAAATCTGTCACAAAGACAAGTAATAGAGCATCGATAAATCTACTAGTATAAGAATTTGCTAAATTCTTGCCTGTGTATAATTCTTGCCTGTGTTTGTGAGGGGGAGGGATTTGCGGAAATCGTGTCGAATCTGTGTTTCTATGGCTGTTCTCATTACGATATTTATTGTCGTCGGGTTCCATAAGATGTTCCGTAATTATTTGTATTTTTATGGGATTTCTATTTAGATGGGTCGGATTATTCCTTTAAATTGGTTTGTGGTATTTGGGTTTTTATGGGACTTTCAAGCCTTTGTATGTATTGAAATTTCGTTATTTTTTTTGGATTTATTATTTATATTTTTTTTATATTTCTTTGAAGATTATTCGATTTAGATTTTAAATATATTTTTCTATTTCGTATATATATAAATATATTTATATTTGGAGATAGGTTCGAAGATATGATTTAGATATGATTTTTTCTTTATATTTAAATTAAATAAGAAATATATCTATAATTTTATATAGAGACTTCCGAAAATAAGGACTCTTAATATAATACTCTAATTAATATAATGTTTTAATTAATAAGATATATATTATAAGGATATTAAAGTGAAGGTATCTCTTATTTTCGACAACTCTTATATAATATATATAATATAATA